ATTGGGATTCTTGATAAATTTGATGTTATTGGTGTCATACCACGGGAGATAATCTTCATCGGTTGAGGATTGACCACTAAACGGAGATCCAGCGACAATGGTGTCCACCCTTTTGTCCCATTTGGCGATGTATTCACGATGATGATGCTCCCTTTGACGACCCGGACTAGAGCCACCCAGGTTTACCTAACTAAATGGTCTAGTTAAGGCGTCCACCTAGCTCGCGCTAAGGTTCGTTTATCAATTAATTATTAAAACCCGCAAACTTTATATTACATAAAGGTACAACGGCAACATTATTACAAAGCTCAAACGTGAGCTTGAGTTATGTTTCTCGTCAAAAGGGTTATATTACACACGCGTAAACTAACACAAACTGGCTAGCGAACTATTTACATCGAACACCGTCTCACGAACCGATCGTTTTGTAGCTTGGCTAAATTTCCATCGCGCTCGGACCTGGGAGTGTGTTAGGGAAATAAAATGTAAAAGGGGTGAGTGTCGAGCTCAATGAGGTTCTCACTATACTACTACGATACTTTTAATAAAACTCTTTTTGAAAAGCAATATTCAAATATAAAACGATTTCACATAGAAACATTCAACAATCAACTATTTCACATTAAGCAATCAACAATAGGGTGGATACAGAGAAACCTTAGTAAGGGCCGTCAAAGAGCCTACGTGGCCCAGAGACGGACTCCAAGCCAGATTCAACAATACGATAGCGTCCATCCGCACAACACGATAACGATTCAACAATACGATAACGATTCAATAACAATTCCTCTCAAACACCTCGTGGCCACCATTGGATACTCATGAGTTCCGCGTCCATCCGGACAACACGATAAGCCTAGGGAAGCTAACCCGGCGACCAAGCCCGATGCCGGCCCGCCAGGCTTCGCCTAACAAAGGCAGGGCCCAGGCTCCAAGTGAACAGAGTTCACCGAAGCAACAATCACACATTATTTCACAACATTCAATCGATAAAAACAATAGTTTTCTTGGAGTGATAAAGTACACCACCAGAAGCAACACATTCAACGATCATACTCAATCAAGTACGTTCAATCACATAACGATATCATTTTGTCTCAGATAATATAACACTCAGAATCCATATAGAACACATACCCCAGGGCGATAAAGTACACATCCGGGTCATTTATCAATAATATTTAAAAATGTGCTTAAGGGTGTAGTGACTTTCAAATATATATTCCCATACTCCCAGTTTTTAAAAGAGTAAGAATCACTCACCGGCGTTGCGGAGCTGATCAGTTTCCTCGTTCACTTGGTCTTCATGTAAACGTTTCCAACAACGTTATTTTAATTGGTAAACATGTACTATATGATGGACTTACTAACTTAACTAGGTAAGGTTATTATCTAGTTCATAATTAAATTTAGTTATAACCAATACTTTAGTTATTACGGTTATTATTATTACTATCATTGTCTTAGTAGTCTAGTTGTTTATTATTATTGTTAATATATCCATAATTTAATTGTTTAATTTTATTATTATTATTATCTTTTATTTCTATCACTCTAATTAAATATTAGATGTAGGATGTTTTCTTTTTGATCTATATACACATATATGTATATTTACATAAACTTTAATTTAGTTTTGTTTTAACTAGCTTTCTTTACTTTTATGTGTTTACGGTTTTCGGTTAATCAAGCTAGATCCCACCTTAATCATGTAGCTACTGGTCTTCCTTGTGATTTCTTTTTTTTTTTTAACGTGAGTCTAGATTTAGGGAAGAGTATAAGACTCACATATTTTATCTATATATATATATATATATTCATTCCAATAAAACCTTTTAATCTGGCCACCAAAGCTTGAGGCATGCTCAATTGAAGATTGTTTTCTTAGGCTCAATTGGTTCCAATATTAACAGTGAGAACCTATGTAGAGGTGACCGTCTAATTGTTACAATTAAAGATCGACTTCGATGTCTTTGGTTGAGCTCGATTCTAAAATTTTCAAACGCATAGTTATATATCTTCTCTTCCCTATAAGTCGTCTAAGCAGCGAGAGGCTTTAAACGCAGCTACTTCCTCAACTGCAACAAGGGAAGATCAGTTTCTAATGACCCCTCGTTGTCGTTCGATTTCGGTTGCCGTTCGGCAGTTGTTCACCTTTTTATTTTTTTTTCCTAAAGCCAAGACTAACCAGCTTTAATAACTGAATTTTACAGTTTATTGCATCTCCTTAAGTTTCGGAATCAATATCAACTCACCTTGTTTCCGGCTAAAACTAACTCCTCCCCCGACTAGTTAAATTATAACACTCAAGTCATTATTCTCATCAAGTGCGTGTTCATGCTTCCCATATCAACTTAAATCCATAAATAAGAGGAAGGACAACATCATCTATCTTCTCATAAGGGGAGAAGGGAAATTAAATTACCTGCTTACACCGTAATGGAGAACAAGAACGTACAAAATCGAAACCGAAATGAGCTACTCCTTCTTCGGTTCCTGCTCCTTCGGTTTTTCTTTCTACCTCCCTAAGCTCCCTATCTACATATTTTCCCCCCTCCCTGCTTTTATATTAACGAGTCTAAGGAAGGCTCCTTTAGGCGGTTAACATATAAAACTTTATTATATATATATATATATTTTATCCTTAGCTTACTCCCTACGGTTTTCTTGCGTGGAAGTTCAGCAAATTAAGCTGAAAAATGGACACCTCAAGCTTGTAACCTTCCCGGTGTTAAGTTATGGGTCTAGAACCTCTTTGGTTTCTATTATTTAAAATCTTCTAGTTTGTCCTCCCTTGTTTTTGTTTAAAAAAATTCAAGGCCTAATCATTACCTTTTTTTGTCTCTGACCACATCCCCATTATACACACCCATGCAATATCTACCACGAATGAAAGTACAAACTGTACTTCAAATTTCCTCCATGAAACAAAATTAATTTAACATAAAGCCTCCAAGGCACTAGCATAACATCTTTAAATTAATAACATTTAGATTAGTATTAGATTTCTTCACTTTTTTTTTGGCATCCTAAAAAAAAATTGTCCTAGTTTATCAAATGTGTCCATTTCAATTATCTTGACATCTATTAACCTAAAAATATTAAATTTTTCTGTTTCTATTGCTGTTTTATTTATTTGTAAGTTTAATGCTAACCTAACTAGCTTTCAATTTAATACAATTTTCATTATCTATCATGCTACTCGGGAACTATACGAAATAACAAGTAGGTTAAATCTCACAGACGTCACACTCCCAGTTAGCCCCAGGCATTCCAGTCCTACCATGCCGGTGCAACTTTTCCCATACTTCGAAACCAGCTATCATTGGTTGTGGTGGGATCGACTGTTTCAAGCCAAATTGTCGCATCACACGGTCAACTTGATGCAGTTCAACGATCTCCCAGCAAATTGACCAAGTGTTTGATCGCCAATGATCCCGACCCAGTGTACATCTTCCAGGTATCTCCACTCCTTTATAAGGTTGCTAAATAAACTGAAATACAAAACAGAATGCTATAAATTAAAAAAAAAAGCCAAACAGAACAGAATTCCTAAAAAAAAAAAGCCAAACAAAACCTAAAAGCAGAACCTAAACAGAACCCTAAAACCTAAAAGCAGAACCAAATGGGAAAAGGGAAAAGAAGGAAAATGAAAAGAAAAGAGAAGAAGACTTTTGACTGAAGTCAATTAAAACTAAAAATGGATATCTAAATTCCGTTGTATTACTTAATCAATTAATAAGAAAACGGATCATTGAATTCCGTTTTAAAGAGTCCAGGTCTGGACTCTTTAAAACGGAATTCAATGATCCGTTTGCTAATTTAACTTATTATTTAAAAAATAATAAATTTTACACCGGATAATTCAAATCTGTTTTAAAGAGTCCAGGTCATGGACTCTTTAAAATAGAATTCAATGATCCGTTTGCTATTTTAACTTATTATTTAAAAAACTAATAAATTTTACACCGGATAATTCAAATCCGTTTTAAAGAGTCCAGGTCCTGGACTCCTTAAAACGGATTTCAGAAATCCGTTTTATCTAATTATTTTTAAAAAAATTTAAAAAACTACATTTTCATTTTAATTCTTGCAAACTATAAATTCATACAATCAAACCCTAACGTCTAATAAATAAAATAACTAGAACAAGAAAAATACAACATAAGCATGCTAAATTGAGAAAATAAAGTTTTGATTCATTATTGCCGGTACAATTTCTACACCCGTGATTAATAGTCGCATTCCTTTGCCCGATGTCGCAGAAACTACTCCCAACATTGTTTCCTACTGGTTCTGCCCAACCCTGAAAATGGTGAATAGGACAATAGTGGAAAAGACGGCCTTGATTTTTGGGCGTATTCGATAACATAAATGTACACTTATTCCCGCATAACGGGCAAAAAAATGCCTCGTAACGCAAATAACTGGTGCTGTTGATTTTGTTGCTGCTGCTCCAGCTTGACATTTTCTTAGTAATGGAGAAGAAAATGATCCACATGACCGGTTTGTGGGATTTTATACAGAATTAAAAACGGATGTGCAAATTCCGTTTATTGTGTTAGTCTAATACCGAATTTTGAAATTCCGTTTTGTGTTAGTCTAAAAACGGATTTTCAAATTCCGTTTTGATGACTTTATGTTTTTCCAAAAAACCTGTAATAATACTCTTAACACATATTACAGATTACAGTTATCACATAAACAGAACCAAACATCTTACTAAGATAACAATAGTACATCAAAATAAAAACCAAATTGATAAATTGATCATCCAAATACATCTATTACACAAACATAATCAAACATCCAACTAAGATAACAATAATACATCCAAACAGAACCAATAATGATAAATTGATCAACACAACGGAGGGATTCAGCCCTCTTCAACATTTTCAAAACCATCTGCGTCCCAGTTGACTTCCAATCTAGTCCGATCAGCTATGCAGTGCGAACGATGACATTCTCTTGTTAAATGGTCTCGACTGCCGCATCTCCTACATCTTCTGCGTCCACCCCTGCCTATATAATCCATTGACATCAAGAATCGCCGCTGTTGTTGATGACCTACAGCATTATACAGAATTAGATTGACATAATCAGGAACAAGGTTCCACCTTGGAGACACCCACTCCTCTTCATGGGACGGGAACAAACCTAGAATGACGAAACTGCTCACGCCATGTGCTCGTCTTATAATATTCATGTATTATGTTTTCTAGGTGATCACCAATCCACCGACATACAGCCAATGCGTGCGAACAAGGAAGCCTGTAAGTGTGCCACTTCTTGCATGAACAACGCCAATCCTTGTATTCTACTTTGTGTTTATTTCCATCTTTCCCTATATGACACCAACCTGTAATGACCCCATACACTTGGTTCTAGAAATCATACAACTCCACTTTGTGAGTTGCTGCTGTATTCTCATACTTACAGAATTTCTTCCAATCCTTATCTTCGATAGGAGTATTGCACTTCAAGGCATCTGCATACTGATCACGGAAGAACTTAATTGTCTTCGCCAAAGTCGATTCCATCATAGCTCTAATTGGTAAAAGTCGAAGACCCTTCAGAATATTGTTGTAACTCTTAGATATATTTGTTGTCAACATGCCCCAACGTGCATAATCTTGATCGTAGGCAAGACTCCACCTCCCCCTCGGAATAGCCATCATATAAGCAAGACCTGCCTCATTGCACTCTCTCAGTTGTTGCTGAAATTTTAGAAACTTGTGATTTTGCCGCTTCTTGCCCATTTTCCAATGCACCAGATTGGTTCGCGCAATTTGTTTTTTGTGTTTCGCCACCATATTGCTCCGAACATGTCGAAGACAATACCTGTGGTATCCAAAATATGATTCAAGCCACAAATCGACATTATTTTTTAGTACAGTGATTATCCCCTTATGCCGATCTGATATAAGACACGTGATTCTGTCGTGTACAACATGAAACCTCAAATTACAGAGAAAAAATGACCAGCTGTCCTCGCTCTCCTCATCTACAATTGCAAAAGCAATGGGCAGGATATGGTTGTTAGCAGTTTTCACCATTGCTACAAGAAGCTTACCCTTGTACTGATCGCGAAGGTGTGTGCCATTAATACTCACAACAGGTTGACACATATGAAAGGTCGCAATGGAAGGACCAAATGCCCAGAAAACATATTTGAAGACCCGATGTTCATCATTCTCAGTCCCGGGCTGCCATTTCCACTCAACAACTGTGTTGGGATTAGACTTCTGTAGTGCAGTCATATACCTATCATAAATACAAAAGAGTCCAATAAACAGTCCAGTAATCCGAGAATTAAAATAGTCTGCATTTGCATCAACAAGTAGTTTAGATTTGAATAAACAGTCCAGCATAACCCTAAACAGTCAAGTATTTTCCTAACAAAACAGTCGAGATTTGCATAAACAGTCTAACATTTGAAAAAGATCCCAATATTTTCTTAATATCGTAAATAATAAGTTTTAAATTTTTACCAGGGCAATTCCGTGAAATTATCGATCCAGCTACCATAACACGCTTCGATAGCTTTTCTTCTTGCATGCCATGCCTTCTTGTACTTCACATCCACCTTATAAGCTTCCTTCACAGCATCCCTGATTGATTTCACCTTAAAACCAGGATCATTTTCAACACTACGCCTAATAAGTCTGGCTATTAACTTCGACCTCAAATTGTGATGCTCATTTTGTCTGGTTATTCCAACGCAATTGTGACGATCAACCCAGGACACAATTTGCCACAGACCATTCCGCTTCAAAGATGCACGCATCCTCCACGCACAAGTATATTGCCTAATTGGAGTTTGCATTCTTCTTGTCACACACTCTGCAGCCCATGACTTACGTCCAGAAGCAAGAACATAAAGCCTGTTGTGATGTATGTTCCAGTCTTCGATAGCGGCCTCAACTTCATCCCTGTTGTTGAAACAAGTATTCAAATCAAGGTTTTCTCTATCACCTTTCCACATCTTAACTTCAAATTCATCTCGATCCAGTATGCTATTTCTATAATCACCAATGTCTGAATAAACATGCTGACCAAAACCAGATGTGACTAAGTTCTGCACTGCTTCTGCTTCTACTCCTGCTTCTTGTTCTTCTTCTTCTAAGTCGGTTTCGTCTGACACATCAGTTTGGTAGTCAACTTCTTCTTCGCTTTCTACACAAGTCCCGTCTGATGCATCATCCTCATCTGATGAATCAAAGTCCTCATTTTGACCCCCACCATGTCCCTTGGCCACGTATCCATCACCGCTGCTCCTGCTAGGCCCTGCTTCTGCATGTTGAGAATTATTCATCCAATATTGCTAGTGCTGTTGCGACACAAATGTAACATCCTGTTTTTATCCAGACAGATCTAACAAATTTTGTGCATGCACCGTGTCTTCATTTTCAACATACAGCTCCAAATATGATGAACCTGAAAAATAATAAATAGTTTTCACTGACGAGTCGTCCATAATTGTTGCGCTTCGTCTTAACCGTTGTTTTCAAACAACAAGTTAATTATCAGATTTACATAATTTCTATCCCAACCCACTTTATCACAAATTCTGTCCAAAAACTCAGAATACGACAGCTTGCGCTCAATAACTAATTTTGTATCTGCCCTGTTATCAAATGTTCTGATCGTGCCATCCTCTACAACATATTTATTTCTCCAGCACACATTAATAAAATATGGACCATTCAATGCCATTTTTTCTGTCATAAATATAATATTTCTTAAAAAAACAGTCTAAATTTCCATAAACAGTACAATCATTTTCAAATAGTATCGTACAAATTTTCATAAATAGTCCAACATTTAAAAAACAGTACAATCATTTCCAAATAAAACAGTCCACATTTGCATAAACAGTCCAACATTATTTTCAACAGTCTAGTTATTTCTGAATACAACAGTTCATATTTTCATAAACAGTCCAGCATTTAAAAAACAATCCAGATTTGCATAAGCAGTCTATCATTTAAAACAGTCTAATATTTTTCTAATAAAACAGTCCAAATTTCCATAAACAGTCCAGATCGAATTTTCTAATAATTCAATATTTTTATACTGAATATTCTAATTCAAATTTAATAAGACCAATAATTAATTAATTTAATACAATAAGATTAAAGGAAACAAATAACATCAACGCAATACTAACCTTGACGATAACAATTTTCAGGCGTAAAAAACAGGTTCAAACTGGAGACCTTTTCGAATTTTTTTATTCCCGTTCAAAACTTTCCAAATCTGATAACAATGTCAATTTTTCTTCATATATAAACCTAAAAACGGATTTTACAATTCCGTTTTTATGATTAGAGCCTGTGACACCAGCTATTCGTACAGATTATCAATGTCAGACCAATAATGCGTCTGACAACCTGATAACAGAGAAACGGAATGCCGTTTTCCATTTTTGGGATGACATGAAAAATGGAATTGAGTCTTTCGTTCTTTGGTTGATAAGGAAACGGAATTTCAATTTCCGTTTTACGTTTTTCCAAATATTTTCTATCTTTTTATTACGAACGAAATTGTTTTTTTCAATTTCAATTATTTTAAAAATTAAAACAACATAACGGATATTGAAATTCTATTTTTTAAATTATAGTTAAAAAACTGCAAAATACATTTCCGACACATGTTTTCAGGATCACAAAAAAATAAAAATAAAATTTTTTTCCGGTTTTTCTTGGGGTCTATTTAGGGAAATGACCCATGTACCTACAATGTACGAACTAACAAGATTCAACTGGAGGGTTTAGGTCCATATGCTTTGCCTTTGGTGCTTCCACCTTGGCCAACTCTCTCCATTTCACCTTCTCTTCTGTTATGTAATAAGCCACATGAAGGAGGTAGGTATATAGGATCATGCAAGATGAGTGTGTCAGCATCTTGATATAGTTAATGCTCTTCGTAGGCATGTTTTTTCTTTCTTCTTCTTCTTCTTCTTTTTTATCTTTTCTTTTTTAATTTTAAAATTTTTGTAGCATGCTTACAATCAATGTTACTTTTTCTGTCTCAAAATAATAGTTTACATTAAATTTCTTTTAACATGTTGACAATCAATGTTACTCGTTCTGTCTTAGAAAAATAGTATACACCGAATTTTCAATGTGAATTATTTCGCTGGGACAGAAGTAGTGTTTACACTGGATATTAGTTTGAAGGAATCTTTTGGCAAGTACAAACACAGCAAACACCCCATCCAACACCTTGCATCGCTTGAATGGTTTGTTCTGTTTGGGTATCAGGGAGCAATAGAAATCACGCTTAAAAAACTGTTTGGCTATCGGAATTCTCTATGAAATCCCACGATTGGTTTTTTTTTTTTTTGATCCTAGGCTATATATATATATATTTACCTGCATTAGTTACTTAACATTTCCAAAATTTTCGACATATATTAGTCCAATCATTTGAGATTTAATTAAGGATGATGATTTCTCTTATTGGGTTGATCCTTTCTAACACTAGACTTTCTTGTATTTTCGTCAATTTAATTAATTTAGAGTAATGTCCACTAATTCGTGAAAGAAATGAAGATATATAATTTCATAGAACTTCAGGTACAATGTAGATCTTGCAGAAGAAAACAGAAAGTTTCGATATGGTATTAATGGTGGGAGCAAGATTTATAAATGTAACAAAAATTATGTTTTTCGGGTAAGTAAAGTTGGCCAGCTCCTAATTTTTTTTTGAGTACAATGAAAGAAAACAAAAGCCTAATTAATTAAATAACAATCGAATTTCGATAGATAATTATGAATTATGATCATATTATGGTGTAATCACAGTTTCAAAATTTGCAGAGATTCTCCCAACACCTCAATTATCCGGTGGACTTGCAATGGGTGAATCCCCGTCCGGGATAAAACCGTGATTGGAGTACGATATTATCGGAGTCTCCTGTTCACAAAATATTTTACTTTTAATTTATGTTAGAATTTAGCATCCTCTTCTGTACCAAAATAACCCCCAACCCAACCCCCTCCCCCAAAAAAAGCATAAACACAACTACACAAGCAAAGAGTACCAAATTTTGATGCTATATATATACCTTGCTGCATCATCCCGTCAAAACTTACTGAAAAATCAAACAATAAATTCTGGGGGGAATAAGAAAAAGAGGAAAGAATCAATCTTTGGTTTTCTTACAAAATGCAGAGACTCAAATCTCTCAACAAGCTCCTCTCCAAAACAAACCTCTCAAGAACCTCTGTTTTTAATTTCAGTTCCACAAACCACCACCACCATGAATTCTTCTCCTCCCAGTATACCTCCTGGTCATCACCATCCTCTAGGTTAGGAGCTCAGAAAATTTCTGATGGGCTGTGCTCAAACCCAGTTGTCAGAAAGGTTCTATGGAGGAGGAACACCATTGTGAAGAATCAGTCTGGTCAAATTAGAGGGCTTTTTTATGGTACGGCTAAGAAGGGTTTCGGTGGAGCTGCTAACTTTCAGCACATCCGAAATTATCAGTCTAATTACCGTTTCCGTTCCAACTACACTTCTTGGTAACCCCCTTTCCTTCTCCTTTCTCATGATTCTTCAGTCTCTTCTGCATTTCTATTTTTTGGGTGTTGTGATTTTTAAGTTGATGGAAAATTTGGTCTTTCTGGCATTACATTTTATTTTCCTCAATTAAAGTTAAAACAAAGCTCAACAGCATAATGTTAATGTATTGGCGATTCTTATATCGGTGTTGAATTTTGGCAACAAACGAGATGAAAAAATGAGTACTAAAAAAATATTCTGAGTTTCGGTGATTCTCTTTACAATGATGTCCTTATTCTGAGTTGATTAGCTTATGTGTTTTGAAACCTAGATGGGTAGATGATCCATGTAGCCGATCCCACAGTGTGAGAACATTACTGCATTGTCGAGGAAAGTTAGTTTCTTTTTGAAGAACAAAGCTGAACAGCAATATTTCAATGGGATCTTTAGAAAAGTTTGAGAATGCCTTCTAAAATTTTTTGAGGCTATCACAGGGATCTCTTCGCTTGTGAATGAGTAGAAATGATTTTTTTTTTTTTTTTAATAAATTTTATTTTAAGTTCAATATCTGGTCAATCTGAAACTAGAAAGACAATTAAAGCATGGAAAGGTAGGAGAGATGTCCCACTACACAGCTATTTTCTGAAGTTGTGATGAACATAGCTTAAAAAAAGAGTACCTCTATCAATCAAGTTTTGTTCTTTTGTTCTGTTGGAGGGCTTCGAACATACTGAAATCGAGTAAAGTAGAGCTTTGTTCATGGGATGATTAATATTTGATTGTTATAATTCCTTTGATAAAGATGTAATCATGGGTAGCACAAGGGGCTGCCTTGATTTTGATAAGCTAACTTACTTTCATCATTCGAGCTGTTAGATTAATGTAGTTCTTCTGCATGTGTTTCTTTCTTCTGACATTCCATTGTGTCTTATTTTTTTCTAAATGTCTACGGTTTACTTCATTCTTGGGGAGCTGTAGAGGCCTGTGGATGATCAGGTGTTCATTCCGCTTTTCTGAACATACAAATTTATTTATTTATATTTTGATTTTGAAGGTTCCAGCGGCTAACAGCTGATGGCGTTGTTCTGGGATTGATTGTGACTAATGTAGCAGTTTTTTTGTTATGGCGGGTTGCTGATCGTTCTTTTATGATGAAAAATTTCACTGTAAGTTGTGAACCATATCTTATGAGGGTTTTGTGACGGATGCCTTAGAATTGTTTTCAAATCTAATGCCCGACTTCAATTTTCTTTTCGGTGCAGATCTCTTTGGACAATATACGAAGCGGAAGAATACACACGGTGCTTACTTCTGCATTCAGTCATATAGACACTGGACATATCGTCTCTAACATGATTGGACTCTATTTTTTCGGCACAAGTGTAAGTAATTGTAGATATAGATGCTGTGACCATCTTTTTTGCAATTAATGACATTTTGATAGTTACAAGAATGATTATGATCATATTATTGGGAAGTGGCAAAGGCAGTTGAGGTAAACATGCAAATGTTAGATATGATGTTCACATTTTCTGTTAGCTGAAGGTGACTAATATGTGTCATTATACCTCATGGTTTATGCTTTTTCTGATTTATCATGTAAATCTGGCAGTATGCATGCAACAAAGTCAATGTTTCATTCGACTTCTGCTGTTTCCCTATTGCTTCAATATGTAATCCTAGAAAATATCCATCTTTAGTGCCTACAAATGTGTTCGTGTTTTTACTTGCTTATCCATCCAGTTGTCATAATTTCATCAGCCTGACTCTTTAAGCTCATAGGGTGCTTATCAACAAGTTGTCTCCTGGCTTGTGTGAGGCTCATTTGTGCTATTAGAATGGCATTCAGCTGCACCTGAACAAACACTATACTGTCGCTGGGGTGCCGTTCCTCATTTTCCAGATGTCATTGTTCTACGTAGATAGAAGAAAGATAACTTTGGTATTGAGAGTGAGAGAACTGTAACTACTTTTACCTTTCATTCCAAATTGCGTTGACCTCATTTTTCTATGAACTAATTTTTTTGCAACGATAAATCTTTAACTTCTTATAAATCTTTCAGTGAAAGCCGCCAATGTACGGCTGCTTCAGTACCTAGCTCTTGCATTGGTCAAGAGGTGGCACACTTTCGTCTGAACTTTCTAAACTGAACTAGGTTGTATACCCTAAACCGATCTTCATTAAAAAATCATTGGAATCAAAATTAGCACAAGAGTAGGCAGCATCTTCTGATCTGCTTTAAACCCTTAACAAAAATGTAGCATGAGAAAATGAAGCTGCTGCTTAAATGTAAGAGATCGTGCTGAAAACTTGTTATCCTTGATGTCATGCTGGTTTTCTATTTTTCTAGGTGTCTTAGCTTGCACCTCTTACTTGTATGAAATCACAATGCTTATGCAGGAAAGTTGTTACGAATTGTTTTGGCTCTCATCTGCTTTGAAAGAGAAAAAATGATGAGCCTCTTCATTTGTAACATATGTTTCTTATGTTTTTCAGTTGGGAAGAGTTTTTGGCCCCGAATTTGTGCTGAAATTGTACCTAGCTGGAGCAGTTGGCGGCTCAGTTTTCTATCTGGTGCACCATGGTTTCTTGGCCCTTTCCTCCGAGGTGACGGGAATCCCTCTGAAAACAATCATGGTTCTAATGTTTCTTCTGTGTTGTATTACAAATTAAGTCTCACTTAATAAAGACAAACCAACAGTATTTAAGAGCAATTAATCTTCTAATATATCAACAGTGTTTCTGTGACTACGACGGCTGCTATTACTTGGACGAGACTTTTCTTTTCTTTTATTCTCTTTAATGTTGACTGGCAAGTTGAATCACTCTTCACCCTTTTTAAGCTTCTTGTACTTTCCTTCTTGATGTTTTCTACAGAAACGACAGATGAGGACTTTTGACTCTTCACGAGTACCTGCTTTGGTAAGTAGAGCTTCACTGTCTCCATCCATTATGTTATTTAGTAGTAGTAATTCCTTCAGTCTGAGAGAAAAAAAAATATAAAAAGTTTGAAAACAATTTTTTTGGGAAACTTGTTTGCATACCCAGTAGGCTGTTTATTAAACTTTTTTGTTTTTAATTTTTAATCATCTTTTTCCAAGTACTTGTATTAGAATTTACAGTTAAACTGCTTATGATGTACTCAAATATATTGCATTTTCACTTGTCCTGATCAATTTAACTAACTTATTGATTTGCCAACGATGAAAAATTTGAAAGGCAATGAATTAGTTTCTGCTTTGGTTTTCAGGGAGCTAGCGGGGCGGTGAATGCTATAATGCTTCTTGACATTTTCCTCTTTCCCACAAAGACTCTCTACTTTGACTTAATCATCCCAGTTCCAGCCATCTTATTGGTACAATCCCTTTTATCCTATTAAAGCAGAATACAGGATGTTGATGTGGTAACTTCTTATTAAAAATTTTTGGCTCCAAATGCACCATATTGCATTAATCATTCTGCCACGTGTCATCCCTTTTTCAAAGAAAAAAAAAATTTTATCCGGAGAAACAAAAGCTTTACAAAAATAGCTACACAATTTTAACTCTTAACATTTATCATTTATCAATCAAATTAAAATAGCATTTAAATTTGCCCATAAACTTATCCCCTTTATTACTCCACATTCTTTTGTATGATTTCTGCATCGTTGTATTTTTCAATATTTTTTCTCCTTTGGCAGATTATTTTTTTATTTTTATTTTAATTTTTGGCTAAAAAGGGAAGAAAAACCAAATGTGTAGCTATTTTATTTTTTTTAAATTAAGAATTCATTTATCAATTAACACAAAATTAAAGTAGAGGGCGCCCGGGCAAGCATCTAGTTATGTATATTTGTATACTTTTGTTTCCTACTAAGTTATTCTGTTCAAGAACCCGATTTCAGCAAAATTTTCATTTTTTGAATACGATTCTGGGAATTCAATATGACATATGATCATCATCATGCTAGGGGATCTTCCTTATTGGAAAAGACATGCTACGGATTTTGGAGGTATGATCTCATCTTTTGAATATTTTTCTTTCTTGTGCTTTTTCCACCTTGTAATGTGATGACCTGTAATTGCTCTTGACAAATCAGGCTTGTCTTAATTGTGATCCTAATCAATTGCCAAGCACATATATATCTGTGTGTGTGTGTGTGTGTGTGTGTGGGGAACCCTAAGAATCTTTCCCTTAGATTAGTTCTCTATAATTCGAGTTAAATCATGAGTTAAAAGGGAGAACTGGTAGGGCTTAATTAAAGTCCTTCCAATCCAAATTTGTTATGGTTGTTGCATCAGAGTTTAGCTTTAATCAAGATATTTTACCATTGTACTTTGGCATTAGCCGGAAAAAGATAGATAAGAAGAATACATGTCTACCTCTATTTCCTTCTTGATATATCCAGTTTTTAAATGCATGGAGATTTGTGCCTTGCTCGACTTTTTTTACTTAGCTGCAAAATTTGGTGAAATGTTGTATCAGGGAGATAGTCAAATATCTGGATCTGCTCACTTGGGTGGCGCCACTGTTGCTGCAGCAGCATGGGCACTAGTGAGAAAAGGACGCCTTCGGTTCTAGAACAGTACATTTGTAAAGGGTTAAGCTTAATCACATTGAATAATTAAACTTTGTAGCATCTACTGCTCTAGTTATTCGGTTAGTAGTAGCAGGGAAGTTGGTCTTCCATGGCACTTCGGCTGCAGTAGAGATGAAGTTGAATTTCTGAGATGATGCTATTCAATTAAATATTCTGACATATGCCCTGTTGGAACTCGAGGCTATGCAGCGAGATAATTTAGGTTGTGTAAATTGTCCTTGGTTTTACACAAACCAGACAGAACAGAGCAGGAGGTATAATATAGTTGCCATTCTTCGGTACTGTTGATGAAATTTCAACTATTATTACTGCGAGATTTTGAAGTATTTTTGGCAGCTTCACTATGATTCTTTATGCTCCTTTGGATGTTCGCTCCGCGTATTTTCCTTCTTGCTTGTGGGTGTTGCAAGCTATTAAGTAAGCTAATTTTTATTCTCGTCTCAGAATAAGAGTTACGTTTATTGTTCTAATTCGATACAGGGGATCTTATTATGAGACGGAGCCAACGGGGGGGAAGATGACTCGTAGGCTGCAAAAACAAATTAAGAATCAAAATTGGGTCACCATATCAATATTGCAAAAATGAAAAATTTCAATCACCAGGATAATCGGAATGGGCTATTTTGAACATGAGGATAACCCGGTTGCGAATAGACCGGTATGTTAGTTGAGTCACATCCCCCACATTTCCAGCCATCTTTCTTCATCATCTTCTTCTTCCTCCATCTTTCCTCTCTGACAAATTTTTAGGAAAAAAAAATCATCATTTTCTTCCCGGATTCAACCCACCAATTTTCTTGTTCTCCAGATCATTGAATGAACAATCTGGTTGATCCATATCCCATCAAATGTTCCATGGGTTTCCTGCATCATCATCATCAACCATTCATCAGGTTTCTTCTTTTTTCTCCATTTTTCTTCCTCCTAACTAGTGTTTCCAGTTTCTACCTCCCGGGGAGCTTCCCCCACAAATACGATGTCGGAGATCAGCTCTCAGTCAAAGTGAATTCATTAACATCAATCGAAACCGAAATCCCATACGGGTATTACTCTCTTCCATTCTTCTGTAAACCAAAAGAAGGCGTCAAAGACAGTGCTGAAAATCTCGGGGAACTCCTGATGGGAGACAGGATTGAGAACTCCCCGTACCGATTCAAGATGTGCGTTAACGAGACGGAGGTGTTCTTGTGCCGATCCGCTCCCCTGTCTTCTGATGATTTCAAGATCCTTAAATCCAGGATTGATGACATGTACCAGGTTAACCTCAACCTGGACAATCTCCCGGCGATCAGGTACATGAATAAAGATGGTTACTTGCTCAGGTGGACGGGGTATCCGATCGGGACCAAACTCGGGAGCGATTACTACCTTTTCAATCACCTGAAGTTCAAAGTCTTGGTTCATAAGTACATTGGGAATGATAACATGGTTGTCGGGGTGATCGGGACTGGAGACGGGGCTGAATTGATCACCCCTGAGGATAACAAAGACGACTTGCCGAGCTATATGGTTGTCGGGTTTGAAGTCGTGCCATGCAACGTTCAGCATAATTCTAAGTTGCTCAAGGATTTGGGGACCTATTCCAGGTACCCTGCCCCTATTAAATGCCAACAGGACAAGGTGTCATTGGCTGCGAAGGAAGGCGAGCCGGTTACTTTCAGCTACGAGGTTTCATTCGTGGAGAGCGAAATCAGGTGGCCGTCCAGATGGGATGCGTATCTGAAGATGGAAGGATCCAAAGTACATTGGTTTTCGATATTGAATTCCCTGATGGTGATCACATTCTTAGCCGGGGTAGTTTTCGTGATACTGTTGAGGACGATCAGGCGGGATTTAGCCAAGTATGAGGAGCTGGACAAGGAAGCTCAGGCACAGTTAAATGAGGAGTTGTCCGGATGGAAGCTGGTTGTCGGGGATGTATTCCGGGCTCCAGAAAATGCCGAGTTCTTATGTGTGGTTGTTGCTGATGGATGCCGAATTGTTGGGATGGGGATTGTCACCATCTTTTTTGCGGCAATGGGATTCATGTCGCCGGCTTCTCGTGGTGCATTGCTCACAGGGATGCTCCTGGTTTATGTATTTTTAGGGATTTTAGCAGGATATGTGGCGGTTTGGCTTTTGAAGACGATTCAATCAGGGGATGCTTCCAGATGGGGTTCGGTTTCCTGGAGGGTTGCCTGTTTTTTCCCTGGAATTTCATTCACAATTCTAACTTTCCTGAATTTCTTGTTATGGGGAAGCCAAAGCACTGGAGCCATCCCCATCTCTACATTTATAGTTCTCCTCTTGCTTTGGTTCTGCATTTCAGTCCCTTTAACTCTCCTGGGCGGATTCGCTGGCACGAGATCGCCAGCCCTGGAATATCCAGTCCGAACAAACCAAATCGCTCGCGAAATCCCAGCGCAGAAGTTTCCATCCTGGCTGCTGGTTTTTGGAGCCGGAACACTTCCATTTGGAACCCTGTTCATAGAACTGTTCTTCATCATGTCCAGCATTTGGCTTGGGAGAGTCTACTATGTCTTCGGGTTCTTGCTCATAGTTTTTATCCTTTTAGTCATTGTCTGTGCTGAGGTCTCCCTTGTTTTGACCTACATGAACCTTTGTGTTGAGGATTGGAGATGGTGGTGGAAGTCATTCTTCGCCTCGGGTTCGGTCGCGGTTTATATATTCATGTACTCCATAAACTACCTTGTGTTTGATCTCAAGAACCTGAGTGGACCTATTTCAGCTATGCTCTACTTGGGATACTCTCTTTTGATGGTCATTGCAGTCATGCTAGCAACCGGAGCCATTGGCTTCCTGTCTTCTTTCTTCTTCGTCTACCGCCTTTTCTCTTCAGTAAAGATTGATTGATTTAGGGATCATCAACATATTCCGTAGTTGTTTTGTATTGTTGGAAGTTAATTAGATGGATGATGTATGTTCCTTTTGTCTTTTCAATAAGTTTTGTAGGGAAGAGACTCGAGAGACTTTTGAGAACTGTAATCCATTTCTTTTTTGTTTCTCCAGTTTCATGCAGAAGTTGAAGTTCTAATAGGATCTAAATTTCGTTACTTCAGGTTTTTGGTTTTGCATCATAGTTTAAAACTGGAGGTGGAATTCTGGGTGACCAATGATGCTTGCTCGTTCGCCCGATTTCTTTCATTTCATATAACACTACTTCATAGTCATATTGTTGAGAATTAAAAACTTTGTGGGTATTATCAACAAACACTTGGTTTAAGTGGTAAGAGTATTGGACTAACTCAATTATAATTTGTGTTTGAATTTAGGCATGCAAATATAACAGTGATTAAAATATTTGTTTTATTGAATTTATCTCCCAAAAATGATCTAATCTGCTCGAACTTGGATTAGTCGGAACAATAGTTGGAGTTTGGATGTCTAAGATGGAAAAAAAACCAAAAATTAAATAGTGTATTATCATGTCTTGACTGAAGGCATCATTTATTTCATCAAGTGAAAATACAGTCTTTGACTTTTTAGATATATTTCTGTTCTATATTCATTGCGCATATGTATAGTTTGTAGCTTTTCATCCTTATTAAAGCGAACGGCCAATCAACTGGGGTTGACACAAGTGGTAAACAGCTTGATGCCGCTTAAACAAGGTCTCGGGTTCGAAATCTTATAGATGCAAAAAACTCTTGTTGGGAGACTCACCTACCACAGCCCGGTATGTAATCTGGATCGACCAACGGATTAGTTGGGCAAAGCTCCGAAAACTGTGTCAGACAACACAAAAAAAAAAGCGAACAGCCAAGTCAAAATTTAAATATATCACATCACTTATTGGCACTCTAAGGCGAAAGCCACTTATGGAGTGAGCCAAAGCTGAAAGGTGATTCCAATGGCTATTAGGGTTTTCCAAAGATCCCAATTTCGTACCCAGTTTGATTCCTTTCACAAGCTGACTCCAGGATTCCCAAATTCATTGATCAAACAATTTTCCACACACCCAGAAAACCCCCCAACTCATTTGCCGCGGAAATCCCGTGAGAGGAATCTAATTACCGTAGCTGGTGTCTTCCGAAGGTACGGTTTTTCACCCTCTGAACTCACCATTTTCCTGAGAAAGAATCGATTTTTACTTGATTTAGATTCCCCTGTCGTGGAAAAATCATTGAGAATTCTCTCAGCTGTGAAACCCAGTCAAGAGTTTCTCGCTTCTGTTGTGTATGGTTGTCCCAGTGTTTTAGAGGTTGATTTTCTGAGGAAATGGGAAACAGGGTTTTCTCAATTGGAGCTTTCCGGGTTGACATCTCTTGCAATTCAGAATATTCTTGAGGTTTCTAGGCGATTTGCATTAGGGCCGGATAATGTTTCCAGGTGTGTAATTTGTTTGAGAGGTTTGGGATTGAGTGAGAGCACTGTAGTTAATGTTATGGAGTCATTCCCAATGGTTCTAATGATGAATGAAGACGACCTTGGTCATAAAGTTACATTCTTGATAATGAACATTGGATTTGAGAAAAAAGATATTGATGGGATCATCCAGTTGTTTCCGAATTTGTTGGCATTTAATGTAGGCAGCAGGATAAAACCATTACTTGATGAGTTTAAGGATTTAGGTTTTAGCTTGGATGTGGTTAAGAGAGAGGTCCTCAGACACCCTCGAGTTCTTGGATTGGAGGCTGGCGAGCTTTCTCAATGTTTAAAAATGTTGAGATCGTTGAAGTGTAGAGTTCCAATTGAGGACAGTATCTTTCGTAATGGAGGTTTTAGGGCTGGATATGCAGTGAAGTTGAGGGTTGATCTGTTGCGAAAATATGGATTGACATACAGGGATGCTTTTGCTGTTTTGTGGAAAGAGCCTAGGGCTATACTCTATGAGCTAGTAGAGATTGAAAAGAAAATTGAGTTTCTTTTGCACACCATGAAATTTGATGTTCTCTGCCTGCTACAAGTTCCGGAATACTTAGGGGTAAATTTTGAGAAAATGATTCTACCTCGTTACAATGTGGTAGAGTATTTGAGGTCAAGAGGTTGGCTTGGTGATGAGGTTGGGTTGAGGGCCTTAATCAAGCCTAGCCGGTTGAGGTTTTACAATTTATATGTCAAACCATATCCAGAGTGTGAAAAAATTTATGGAAGGTACGCAACGGATACTGTGGTTAAAAGAGGGCATCCAGTTGGAATGTGGAAGCTTTTCAGACCTCAGAAGCATCCGCAGTCTGAACAAGATATCAAGTGCATTAAATCTATGGTGGAATCTATGGGTTAAGTCGATTAAGTTGAGAGTTACTGTTATATTTCTCTTTGATGGAATCTATGGGTTAATGTGAGACTACTTTTGTTGTCTTTCTAAGGTGTGCCAAACGGTCCTCTAGCTTACCCTATGGGCTGTATTTAAGTATATCATGATCCCATATGATCAGTTTGACTAATGCATTGTCATAACTGAACATTTGAAATTGGTCTGTTTGCCCTAGTTAAGTTGATAACCATTTCTTTGACGGGATTTCTGTTTTGCCATTATCCTCAGAGTGCTAAACAGAGGCATATGATGTGAGGATAAAAGAATGTTAGCCTCTCGGCTTTACTATTTCTGATGCTGTAGTATGACATATGGATTGTGGTTTTGTTCACCCAAAAGGCCGATGCTTGTTTATTCCCTAAGAGCTGTTGTACTGGTTTTATCTGTAACACTGGTAAAGGAAATAAAGGCAAATATCTTTTCAATGCTTTTACTTGGCCTTGGCAGACACATTCAGCAAGTCATGAATTGTGGCCATGACTTTTGGGAGTGTGGTTGATACACCTCCAAAATGCTGCAACTACACGAAAAGGAAGTAAACATGTTACTTTCGTAATTTCACAGGAACTCATGCAGAAAATCTGGATGGTCAGGGATGAATAGTGGTTACCACTCATGCAGAAAATCTGGATGGTCAGGGGTGAATAGTGGTTACCTTTCCTCAGAATTAACCGAAGGAAGCCTTCAGGAAAATTCTGAAAGTCAGATTCTTTAGAATGGAGTGAAAAGGTACAACCACCCTGCTTGAGGCTCAAGATTATTATGGCTTTGAGTGGCGTTGCTGGTCTGTCTGCTTTGATTGGGCTCTCTATTTTGTGTCTGTTTGTTCACACTTGGCGTACATGGAAAACCTCACCCTGGGCAGCAGTAGAACTACTATTAATATTGAATTAGATTTAAAAGGTCGAGCTATTGAGCTTCTGAATAAAAGGTCTCGTAACTCTTCCTACTTTAATTGTAATTGTGCTTCAGAGAGTTCAGAGTGATCAAATCACTGTGCTGCACTGCTGCTATGAGCATCGTAAGTAACTTTTATCTTTTTGCATGCACGAATCGTTGGATAAAGATTTCATAATGTACAGAGTGCCTAGATTTTCCCGGGATTCATTTCTACAGTTAGCAACTTAGTTTTGTTGATAATGGTTGCAATTTTCCTATTCTCTAGCTTGCACGTACCTTTGACTTGTATACTTCCCTACTAAACCGTTGGCCCCCTTGTTTGCTAGTGGACTGCACACCGCCTAATATTAGCCTTTAGATTAATGTGTATTGTCAGCTGCGCTTTAGCATTATTTCATCCCATTTGTTGAAGCTTCTTTTTCATTTTTCAGGACATGTCAAGTAAGTCCTTCTATATTTGGTTGCTGAATGATGTGTGGATTTGACGAAAATGGATGCCTTTTTTGGAACTATCAGATTATAAAATAATGAAAGGAGAAACTGTATAACGGGTGTAGAATCATGATGGGGAAGCTCTGTGTTGTTTTCTTTATAATCTATGGATTACTTTGTAATGTGTATCAATTTTGTGATAATAAACAACTTTAAGGCAGTTGAAACTATTTAAACCCTTAGGATCTTGAATTTCTGCACTAGAGTTCAGGTTAGTATTGGAGGTTCTGCAACTGAAGAGTGGGAGTAGAGCAGCTTGCATTCTGAAATAGTACTGTATTGAAGCATTTGGACTTGTATCTTAAAAATATCAAAAGCTCCCCAAGGAACTCTTAATTTTGACCATTCTAAGTACCTAATTGCTTCTTCTTTATATTTATTTACAATTATTTTTTAAGTAATGTACTTATACGTGGTTGGGAGTACACTGGGTATGTTGATGTTAATGTTGATGTTGTAATGTACTTATACGTGCTTCTAAGTGCTAACCAAACAAAATAGTATTACTATTTCCTAAAACTAGTTAAGTCATAAATAATTAGTTTTTTTTGGGTACAGCTTCGATATCTTCATTATAGGTCAATTAGTAGTAATCCTTACTTTGGGAGAGCATAATCTGCAAGATTAAGATGATTATTTTGGGAAGCTTATGTGCGTTCAACCCTTTTTTAATCATTGCTTCTGTCAGATTAGAATTTGTAGATTTACCTGCTAACAATGTATCCATAATGATGCATTTTCTTTTGCTGTCATCAATATTTCCAACTTTGTGATTAGCATGTGATGAATAATTTGAAAGACAACCTGAGTGTGTTTGCTTCTGCGTCCAGGGGGCAACTGGGGACAGTCAATGCTATATTGCGTCTTGACATCTTCATCAATTCCATGCAGATCATTTCAACTGCTTTTCCTTTGTTCTTTTTTCTGAGATAAGAATTCGGTAATCTGACATACTGTATAATCATTATTCTAGGGGATCTTTTTATATTGGAGAAGACATACGGCGGATTTGGGAGGTATGATCTTATTTTAAGGCTAGTGCTCTTGCTTGTGCTTTCAACATTGCACTTTCCTTGAACCCTGTCAAAGCTCTGCTATAAGGCAAGCTTATCTATATTGTGGTCCTGGAGTCGATTGTTGAACACATAACGAACCCTAAGATGGAAATTGTACTTTTTAGCATATAACCTGAAGTAGTTCTAGGTATCATATATCATTGGGAGGAGGAACAGTAGTATATCATCGCAATTAAGCAAGGATGGCTGAGAACAATTAAGATGTGTATTTGGATATTTTCCTTAAAATTAGTCCCCTGTATGATTTAAGTGTGAAGTCTCCAGTTAAAAGGGAAAATTGGTTGGAGTTGATTAACCTTTTTCAACCCAAAGTTGTTTTCAGCGGAATTCAGCTTACTCAAACCACTACCATCGTTGTATTTTGGTTTTGGCAGGAAAAAAGTGAGAGAAAAAGACATATTCACTACTATGACCTAATAAGATATCCAGTGTTTAACTAGGTGCTGAGTCGTTAATGGTATCAGGGAGATAGTCAAATATCTGGATCTGATCACAGCAGCAGCGTGGGCATTAACGAGGAAAAGGGCGTCTTTGATGATACTAGAGAACATCGCATCCCGGTTGTGGTTGGGATTTGGAGCCTAATCACATTCAGTAATTATTCTTTGTAGTCTTTACTGTTCTTCTTGGGTAGTAATTTGGTTGTTATTTGGAGCTTAACTTCGGTACTCCTTGAAAATAAGATAAGACATGACACTAGATATGCACTTCTAACCTTCGGTTTTGTTTCCATTATAACTAGAGACAGTACACAACACACAATTTGTGGATCTAAAAGGATCACAATAATCCAGTCTACATTAATAATTTGGCAAAACACCTCATTCTTTTGGTTTAATAATGCAATTTCTTAATTTAAATCATGATTCTTGGCGCGGGGATGCGGTGTCTTACAAGAAAACTATACAGCCATGGCCACTCACCAAAGTGGTTGAATAATGTTCGCATCTTAAGTACAGAAGTATCTTTCTGATGCATTGCATTCTTCCTTTTCTTTTTACGCTGTATTTTTTTTTCTTTTTTTGGGGGTGCATTCGTGGCGGTATATAGTAAGAGGGAGAAGTGACTCTAAAGTTATTACGTATATTCGTATATTCTCTCTGTTCTAAAATTATTATTGTCCAGTTTGAGATTTTATTTTTAGTATAATTTAAACTAAAAATGAAAACCAAAATAGGACAATAATTATGGGACGGATGGAGTAGAAACTTTTTCAATCTGAAATATATGCTGGAGAAAAGTAGCTTGGAAATTAAGTATGATTCATGGTGCACTATATCATACAGCCATACAGAGAGCTTCTACTCTTTTTATGTCAATTAAGACAAAATTAAACGGAAGATATCCCTTGAAAACTTGAATGACTTCTCAGTTTCTTCCAAACATTGGTTCTTCTCTTCCCTTGTCCAGCTCTGAGCTACCTGATTGAGTTTGTTCTTCACATTCTGCAAGAGTTGAGCAAGTTCATCATCCCACTTGTAGAATTCCAGCTCCTCCTTGTTGAGGAGCTTCTCAGTTACCTGAACAGTAAATAAACACATCAATAAATTATAACATCCCTAATTAGCATTAATGTTATTAGATACATGGAGATAAGATATGGTATCCTATCCTTATCTCCTGACACTTTCTTGCAATCAAAATGAGTATGGACATCTCATGTCCCTTACAATATTTTATTTATACAATAATCAGAACTCATGGAAAAACAGTCCAACAATTATAACATGGGAAGGTACTAATTTGATCCCTTCTGATCAAATAAAATCATATCATATCATAATCAAATAAAATAACCAAACCAAATCAAACCAATCATGTTTACATGATCATAACAAATCTGTATACTTTATCCTATCATAGGATAGGATCATGCATTGATGAATTTCTAACACTGATCATGTAAACATTGAAGAAACCTCGCAAGGGGCGACTGAAGTATATACTAACCTTCCTTCCGATCATCCGGCCGCCGGCAGAATGGCCGAAGTAGATGTTGTAAAAGTGACAGAGAAAAGGTTGAGGATGTTTCAGGGACAGATCTTCCAAATACCGAGCATAGGTGATTCCAGGCGAAGATGGCTCCGGGATGGAGTGACCTTTTTCCTGGAACCATTTCAGGTCTTTCTCAAGTCTTTCCGACCTTTCCAAACCAGTGTTTCTGAACTCTGCATACTCAGGAAAATGCTGTTGTGGATTCTCCACAATCTTCTCCAATGTGGCATACACCAGTTTGCTATCCACCAGAAACTTCAAGTAGCCTTCAAGAGTAGGCTCCCATTTGGAGAGGGAATGGCCTTCTGGCTCATGTCTTTCTGTCTCCTTCTCTCCCTCCTTAGCTTGATCTCTGGTATGCAACTTCATTGCCACCATCCTCATCTCCTCCACAAACAACCCTTTTTCCTCACCATCTTCGGTGCACAACATCATCATTCTCTTCTGCTTCTGATCAGCAGGAGAATTTGTACTGGCAGAAGTCACTAGTAATGCCATTTTTTTTTTTTTTTGGTTCGAGGGAATAATCAACAACCAGAATTCCGGGTTTCCTAAAGAGGGATTTCGTGTTTTATTGGATTGTTTTGTTGGGTTGACAAATTGGATAGAAGGATCGATCACTACCATTTATATAGTGCATTGTTGAAGATAAGGCGCGGACGGAATTTCTTTTAAAATATTATTGTTCAGTTGGAACAAAGGGATGAATGATTGGTTGAGAAGAAGGGATCGGAGAGACTATTTTAATCTCATTTTCAAGAATAATAACATATGCTGCCTAATAAATTTAGCTTTTCTGCTAACTAAAAGAATTAAAGAGAATTGAGGATGGCAGGAACAGGAATGACCCATGATCTTATTCTTCGTATTACCGATGTAAAATAGCCAACAGTCAACAAAATTACATTCCAGGACATCAAGCAGGCGAAGTGATTCATAAAGGAAGTGTAGAAAATTTTTGACTATATATTTTGAAAAAAAATTGGATTTTCGAGCCTACAAAAAAATTTCTCTTTAAATTTCTCCCTCACTTCTTGGAATTCCTAGCTCCGCTACTGCATACACATAATCCAGCTTGTCCTTTCAATTTCTCCTGATTCCGTATCATTCATAACCGGGGGAGGCTCTTTCAAGCTTTGCGACGATAGAGGCGAATGGGAAGGCCTTGAGCTGGAACTTGAATCGGAAAATATGAAATTTTCTCATCTGGAATCATTTGTTCCCAAGTGTATTCATTCACCAGATAATGTACAAAAGTGAGTATTGCAAGCCTGGCATACTCATTTCCAGGACACATCCGCAATCCTCCCCCAAAAGGAATGAAAGTGTAAGGAATCGGACCATCTCCCTCGAACCTTGATGGATCAAACTTTTCAGGATCTGGAAAGTATTTTGGATTATTGTGTGTGGAATGTAGAAGCCAATGAACCTGCAGTGAAATAGCGATAAAATGTTACTAACAATGTCGATCAATATATTGATCTAATTCGGGTGTTAATTTTACAACTAAAGAATTCTGATCCTATCTGTAACTAACACTATGTACCTTCCAGCCCTTTGGAATAGTGTATCCGTCATATTTGATATCAGTAAGGGCTTCTCTAAAACCGCCAACCCCGGGTGAACATTGTCTAAATACTTCACACACTACATTCCATGAATACTTCATCTTTCTGAAGTCCTCCCAACTCAGTCTATCACTTGGATGCTTTGAACTTGCTATTTCCTTTTGTTCTGAATTCCTCAAAGTCATAAAAGAGTATAATAAGAAAAAAGAAGACAATTTTTAAGACTTATAATGTGGAAAAATTACGTTCTCTATCGAATACAAAGGAGGAGGGGAAGGTGATTAGTAAGAGACGAACAAAACATAAAAGAAAGAAATTCCAATAGCATAATCTTGGTACCTTTGAGGACGGAATCGTACACATGAGGATGCTCAGCAAGGATCTTGATGAGCATTGTAAGTGTGGAGTGGAGATACGTGTAGCCAACTTCGATCAAACCAACCAAATGGCTGGCAATGTCTTCTTCCTTGAGGACTTGACCATTCTCATCTACTGAGCTAAGCATATGTGCGACGAAATCCTTCGCAATTTCTGCTGCTGGAGTTGCGGTACTAATCTTTCTCGACCCAAGCAGGGTTTTTTTATGCTTAAGGATTGCCTCAATTTTCGAACGCATAACTTTAGAGGCTTTGAGTCCACGATTTAATGTTGTCCCTGGCAGGTTGATTGGTGCTGCAAAAAATGCGGCTTCAATACCATCTATTCCTGTCACAATTTCATCGATTTCGTTTTGGTCATCGACGCCTAAGAAAACATTGCATCCCAAAGCCAATGCATATTTCTTTACCAATTCCCCTGCTTTCACCTCATCTCTTCCTTTCCAATATGTTTCCAGATGCTGTTTCATCACAGCATCCATGATCCTTATGCATTCGCGAAGTCCATCGACTTTGTGAATCAATGGCGAGATGATATCGCGTAGCCTTTTCGCGTGGACGTTTGTAGGTTGATTGTCGGACTTTGGGAAGATCTTATCCGTCATGCTAGGCCACCATACCCGAAACAAGATGTTCTCGTTAGAAAACAGAAACTTGTTGCCTTGGGCGGTACCAAGTATCACCATTTTCTGTCCGAGCAACGATGTCCTGAAGATATTGGTCGAAAATTGCTCCGTTCGATCTCTCACGAATTTAAATTGGAACCCTTTTCGAGATTTCAAGTAATAGTCGAACGTTTCTCCAATGAAAGGAAATCCAGTTCTTCCCGGAGGAAGCCTTATAAGCTCTTCTTCATCATCACCGTAACTGCTGGAGGAGGAGTTGTTGTCATTAGTAGTACTGGTACTTTTCTGTTTACGGTGAAGAAGAGAGAGACAAAACAGTGAGAATATGGCTAATATCAGGGACAGGAAAATGTCTGATGGTTCCATATTTGGTTAAAAGAATTCTTCGAGATTGGTGTTGAAGATAGATGATGAAACAAATCAAGAGAGATGAGATCGATTGACCTTTGAATTCGGGAATTTTAGTGATTTATTTATAAGTTATAACCTCTTGCATTAATGTAACAAAAGAAAGTTCCTACAAAAGAAGATGAGTACTGATACATACAAGAAAAATTACAAGGAAAACTTACACAGAATGAGTTGTCAATCATCTAAACTATGCCCTAACTGTAAATATTTAAACCACAAATGGAAAGTGTTAAAAATGAATGATTATGATCAATTTCTTCTCATTTTTCCTTGTCATTTTTTCCCTGTACGAATCATTATCCAAAAAAGATTTGTATCAAAGTATCGTTCCACCATATTTCCTTTTTCTTTTCGATTCCATTTGGTCTTCGTTGATTTTTCCATATGTTAGGAAAGGAGTGTAAAGAGTATTATTACATTATGTTATTACATTTTTGAGATACGCTACTCTAAAATAATATGCCAAAACTGATTGATACACTTGGATGAATGCTTCTTGTATATTGTGGTCAAGATGCGTCCACTTTTCAAAATGGAATAGTATGACGGCTAGCCGGTGAGAGAGTTCCCCGATACCATTCATTATTTGTTGGATTGGATACACGACACAAACTCTGAAATGGTCAAAATGGTTGCACTACTTTGATAACCTGTTATTGTCTCTGCACCTACTTTTAAGGCAATTAATAGGCCAATTGAATTACTACTAGCAAACCATTTTTATCTTCTACTGTATATATATATTTTTTTTGACCAAATAGGAATACCAATGCGAATTGCCAGACATAGGCAATGATTTGAGTTGAATATGCAGTAACGGACAGCAACCTTAAACCTCAGAAAAATATCATTATGGATTAATTAGGAAACTTAGGAAAGTTGCCATGATGGAATAAGTAAACACAGAAATGAGATTCGGTGCGTGCTCATATAATTATATGTACCGGACCCGGACCGCAACAAATTATTAGTTCTGTTAAATGTTTGGAACTTGGTCAACTTAGGTTGACGGATAATTTATTATGGAGTCAAAGAGTATATTTCAAGAATGACTGCTGTTGTACGAAGTACGAACTATCTAGCTCGGTCTGAAGTTGAGTTGACTTCCACGTTTTAGTTGTAGCATTCTCCATCATTTCAAAGTACTCCTCATTAATATTAGACCAACAATTGTTGGATCCAGTTGTTTAGGAAAAGAACCCTTCTTTAAACATGTCTCCAATTCCCGCTTTTATATGAACAAATAATTATGGGAAATTTTTACCCCGAAAGGGCAAAGTAGTGAGAATTTTATTTATTTTATTTTTTTTTTGCTGAGGTGAAAATACCATCAAAAAAAATTATTGTCACTACAATTTCAAATTAGCTTTTAATAAAAAGAATATTGGCTTGGGGGCAATTGTCGTTACTGGTCCCCTAGTTCTATCGCCGAGATTTAATGTTTAGGAGCTTTATATGAACTTATAAAAAGTTTTAAATGTCCCCCCCTAGTGAAAGAGAGGAAATGAATTTTTTTATATCATAAATTTTTATGTAATGAAATTGTTTTTGCGTAATAAAAAGGCTGATGCTCATTCGACAAGAGAATAGGATGGTTTGTTGGGTTGTCAGAACTTAATTTAACCTTGATTCCAATGGAATCGATAGAGTCTAACATTTATATTGCGTAACTAATCAAAAGAAAATGCATGTGACAACTTACGATACCTATGATTGAGCATCATTCAATTTTATATCTAGGATACCATGAAAAAATTGCAACTTTATATAGCTCTACTTATTATACATATATAGCTCTAATTGCAGCTTACAGAATCACATACACCCATTATTCGAATTACATATTCAAAAACAAAAAGCCACTTTTGCTTTTGGACATTGAGGCAATGAAGCTTGAAATGTGTCCCGCAGGCAATCTTCAAAGTGGATCATGCAACACTCAACTTCATCGGGAATTTGCTTTTGCCAACTGAATTAGTGACCAAATTGTGAATGAAAATGAGTATGGAAAATTTTGCAAACTCATTTCCAGGACACATTCGGCCGCCACCTCCAAATGGTATAAATGTATAAGGCGCTGGACCATCTCCTTCGAATCTCGACGGATCAAACTTTTCAGGATCCGGAAAGTATTCCGGGTTCCAGTGGGTGGCACTTAGGTTCCAATGCAGCTGCACACACACACACACACACATAATTAAGTGAACTATGTATGAATTGATTAAATGGGAAGCGAATCAAAGATAATGGTAGTAGAACTTGCCTTCCATCCTTTTGGAATAGTATACCCTCCAAAGTTGAAATCATGGAGGGCTTCTTTATATCCTCCTCCATTTATTTTTAACCTCAAGGTTTCGCAAACAACATTCCATGAATACTTCATCTTCATTACATCTTCCCATTGGAGTGCTTCATTTGCTCCCTTGGAACTTGCGATTTCTTCTTGCTCTTTAACCAGTTGTTACAACTTATATGTTAGTGTTACTACATTTGAAATGCTATAAACTGAAAACTGAATGCACCCTCTGCACCACTTATCACAAAATGAAATATATTGATGACTAAAAGTAAAGTTATATATATATGTTGTTTCATCAAGCATATACTCTTTTTGTCCAACAATAATAAATCTTATGTTTGTTGTATTAAAAGAAAAACCATAGAAATCTTACCTCTCAAAACCATATGGTAGACTTGAGGAAGCTCTGCAAGATGATTGATAACATGGGCGATTGTTGTATGTATACCAGAATAGGATCCTACAAAAAAACCAGATATGTAAGTAGCAATTTGGTCTTCACTGAGCAGCTGGCCATGGCGGTCGATCCCCGTTGAAGAAGATTGAACAAAGTGCGATATGATATCAGGATGATCAGAAGAGGTTGCATCTTTTCCTATCTTTCTCTGCCTGATGATTTCCGCAATCCCTTGGAACAATTTCTGAGAAGATTTAATGGCGCGATGAAAATCGGTTCCTGGAAAATTGATTGGTGTTGAATAAATTCCGACCGTCATGGCCTTTATATACTCTTCAAGTTCATCAATCTTTCTTTGGTCGTTTATGCCTAAGAAGATCTTGCATCCCGATGTGACTGCGTACTTTTGTGCCAGTTTACTGATCATTTCATCCTTCTCCTCCTCAGCATCATTCCAAGAAGTTTGCAAGAACTCTTTTATGGTGGAATCAAAAATTCGCACGTAGGATTTGAGTGAGTCTCCCCTGAGAGAAGACGTGTAAAATTTCCGCATCTCATGAATCTGCTTCTTATCATTACTTACGGTGGCCGGTAAGAGTTGCTGAATGGTGGTCGGAATCCAATGCCTCAACAACTCCGGGCGGTTGGAAAACAAGAACTTGTTCCCTTCCGGGCCGGAAAATACCGCAACGGGCTGTCCGATTAAAGATGTCTTGAAAATCTTGGAGGAATACTTGTTGATCCTTTCCAGGACAAATTCATGGAGGACTTTGTCTTGGAATTTTGAGTAGAAATCGCGGGTTTCACTCAAGAATGGCCCGTCTGTTTTTCCAGGAGGAAGCTTTTCCGGCTTATCGGAATCTTCCTCGGCTTTATTACCGGCTGTTTGAGGATTTCTTCTTCTTCTCAGGAAAAGCTTCTTGCAAAATAGGATTAAAATATAGCTTGCTAATGCAGGAAGAAGAGACAGTAGAATATCTGATATTACTACCGCCATTATTTTATTTGTATTTTCTTTGAGCTTTGTTGGCTGAGTTTTGTGTTTTGACACTTTCAGACGGTGTCTCTCCTATGGGACTATATTTATAGAGCTAGCAACCAGAGTTGACCATTACTTTAGTAAAATTGCCGAAATGAGCCCTTTTGTTTGATATAAGCACATGAACATGTCCTTTGGTCCTTTAGTAAAATTCCCAACAGAATATAACATCTAAACAGTAAAATCAAGTTGTAGATGATCATGTATAAGGTTATTCTGTTTGGAAATTTAATACCGTTAGTAAAAAAAAATCTAAAATCTTTTACGTATAATTGCCACTATGAAACCAAAACGTGTTTCCGTACTAACCAAAATACAATATATAAAATAAACAACGTTTGTGCTTGCCCAAAAAAATGCTTCCCAAACTTGAGAAAACAGAACTAGGCACCGGCAAGTGGAGACGCCAGAAATAGGCATATCGGATTCTACAAATCCGATTTTTGGTAAAAACGGATAACATGATTCCGATTTTGTTTTCATTAGAAACTAATTTTTTCTAAATGACATTTTGGCACTAAATCGTATTTCATAAATCCGATTTTGGAGTAATAAAATATTATTTTAAAAAATTAATTATAAATTACTTCGTAAAATTAAAAAATATATATAAACCGGAATCCAGAAATCCGTTTTTAGTAAAATCGGATTCTAAGAATCCGTTTTTTTGGAGATATAAATAGGATTCTCCAATTCCGATTTTAAAGATTGGCCAGTCCCTGACCAGGTCAATCCACATCCCTTGGCCGGTGAGAAATCCGGCCAAGGTTCCCGGGCTGGTCACCGTTCGGTTCGGCCAGCCTGGGCAGCAACCTCTTTTTTTTTTAAAATTTTTTTAAAAATAGAATTTGGAAAAAAAAAATTACCGACATCGATAGTGAGCTTTCTCGTTGTTCCCTGCCGCGTTCTGCCATTTTTTTGGTGTCTGATTATTAGTAGATCTAGATTTGAAGAAGAAGAAGAGAGGAGGAAGGAGAAGAAGAAAGAATAAAAGAGAAAGAAGAAAAGGAGAGGGGGAAGGAGAAGAAAGAAAGAAGAAGGAAGGAAGAAGAAAATAGTTTATGGGCAAAATTGTAAAAAACGAACTGCATGTGAGTAATTTTTGAACTGCGAAAAGCAATTCAGCCAAATATTAAGGAGAGTTGGCTGATTTTGGTTGTCAAGATAAACACACGAAACAAGCCCATGCCTACTTTATATTTGTTAAAATTTTCTAAAAAGGTCGCTGCTCCTTCTTGCTGAAACCAATGTTGTCAGGCTCGGACTGGAGCTCGAGTCGGCATGGCCAAGGGGGGTCGATCGAATCGGGGGTCAACATGGGTTGATTCGGAGGGTCGACTCGGATGATGTCATAATGACGTAATAAATATTAATTAATTAAGAAATATATTTTAATTAGAATTTTATAAATTTTTTTTATATATTTTCGATTGTTGGAGTCAAATTAATACTTGATAATTTTTTAGTATAGTCAAACTGACTCATGAGGTCGATTAGGATGATGTCATTATTACTAACTCTATAATATTTAGTTATTTAATATATTTAAAATTAAAAAGACTTAAACTTTATATCCCTCTTCGATTATATTAGTTGATATTGATATTTTTCAATAGTAAATTGTTGTTCAGGTGAAGTAAATTAGTATACTAATAAAGTCATTAAAATAAATAAAATATTATCTAGAAAAAATTTGAATTTGAACGACAACTAACATACACATTAAGAAAATGTACTCCGAGATTAATTTTTTTTTTTTTTGTGACATATTAGAGTTATAATATAATTTTTTCATAAAATGACCGAAGTAGTTTTTGTAGCAAAATTAAAAAAAAAGATTATTCAAAATATTATATTTGAAAATTGAAATTGAATATGAGGACTTAAAATCAAATTAATACTTCAAAAAGTACAAAAAATTGAAAGCTTATTGGGCAATTTTGAACAAAAGATTAAAAGTGGCCTTGGAAGACATTGGAACTTGAAATCCATAGGAGGATGTGCAATTTTTGGGTCAAAAGTAAAAAAAAATTAAAACTCCGGTTCGACCCGATTTTAGTCGATTCGCGATTCGACAGAGGTTTTGACTGATTTTGACCGATCTTCTTTTTGACGATTTTAAGCCTTAATCGACTCGGTATAGGAGTTAGTTCCCGGTTTAACCAGTTCAACCGGTCGGTCCGAACCGAGCATGACAACACTGCTGAAAACGAAACTGACAAGGGAAAAAAAAGAATTCCAAAACTATAAAAGGGAGTGCTGGTTATATTATTCCAGGGGAGAAAACCGAGGTCGCTAACAGAGGAGTCCGCAACAGCCAAATTTGAGCTAGTTTTTTTCACGGCGGAAGCAATTTTCTTATCCCCGGTTCTTTTGTTCCACTATTTTAATTCAGAATTTTGGTTGTAACCGCCGTACTATTTTAATTTATTTAATGTATATGATTGTGGTTTTTTTCATTAATTAATATTTATTATTCTCTTTTTTAATCCATGTAAATACCTGATCAATATTTGCATGTTTTAAGGGGCTAATTGAAGTAGCGAGAGTAGAAGGTTAGCATTAGTTCGTAGGAATAATAAACTTAGGTAGTGATCCAGGACAAGAACACCGCCTTTGCGACTAATAATTCCAAAGTTCTTAATATGCTTTTATTAATTCCTATAGTCACGAGAGTAGTCATAGAGTAAATTTGAGTAAGAGGGTTATGACACGAGAGTGTATAATCCTTAAATTGATGAATTGTCGTGAGATTAATGAGAGTCCAAAGTTACATATCTATAAATTGAATTAAAACTGAGTAATCGGTTGTGAATCCTTTGCCCTAGGTTTTCTTTTATTTAATTTTTTTAGATATTTAGTTAATTTAATTGTTAGTTTTTGCTTTACCTAGTTTGAAATTGATAAATTATTAATCTAAATAATAATAAAAAATAATTTTAATCGGTACTTGGTAACCTTCTCTGTGAGTTTCTTTTATTTAATTTTTTTAGATATTTAATTGTTAGTTTTTGGTTTAGCCTAATTTGAAATTGATAAATTGTTAATCTAAATAATAATGAAAAACAGTTTTAACCGGTACTTGGTAACCTTCTCTGTGAGATCGACCCTACTTACTACTTTACTACTAGTAATTATATTAAGTAGGTAATTTTATATTTGACTAGTGTGATGACGGATTGTTAGAGAACAACATCTATATTCTCAGACCACGGGTGGAGGGGGATGCCGCTGACCGAGCGGCTCACAAGCCACTGGCAACACCAACAATAGCCATATACACTATATCATATACATTATGTCAATTATGTCTTACTATGTATTTTTACCTTATTACATACGCATTATTGACTTATATGATTTTCAAATTCTAAATCTATTAAATAGATCTATGATAACATAATCTTCCAACCATGTAGAGTGTAACAACGAGCAAAATCATGAACATTAAATTTGTAACAACACCACAAACACTAGCTACATAAAAAAAATATAATAATCTCTTAATTATAGATGTCTACAATATGAGACCGGTACTATCTTAACAGACTGTTATTAAAACAATATGGTTCAAGACTTATAAATTTTGGGATAAATCTCTGTTACTATACAATACTAACAACAAAGATGAAGAAAAATCTACTTGCTTCGACGTGGTCTTATGCCTACATCTACTTGTGTTATTGTCACTCCATGGATGTTTCAACGTCTCATATTTTTTCGGAAGGGCTTACATGATGAGGTTAGTCAGTTCCATAACCCCCATCGTACCCTTTGGCTTGCGATTCTAGTGTTGCAATTGTCCCCTGATGTTATGGAGTTAGTTGGGTTGATTTGTAATTTTCTGTGGTATAGTTGCAATAAAAAATTCCATGAGGGAACCTTTTGGCCTCCGTTCCAGGGGGGTGCTTCCGCTAGTCTGGTACTTAAATCCTTTCATGAATGCCATTGCTTTCCTAAACGTCTGTCACCACTCATAGATTACAGTTTGTTTCTGAGCCAAATTCCGTGTAGGTTGAGTGTATGGTTTGGTGGTTCTTTTTCTGTAGAAAATATATACTAGTCCTGGAGTGTGGTGTGATACTTTAAGATTGTACTTTTCTACGTGCAAATGCGCGCCGTGCATATGGCATCTAAGATCCTTTTATTGCTGAGATTATAGCTCTCAGAAAGGCTGTGAATCTGGCAGAATCGGAAAGGCTTATTAATTTCTCAATTCATGCCATTCTTGCATTACAAGGTAAGTAAATGTATTTGTCTAGATATTTGCCAGTGGGTTTCGTACGTCATGCTTTGTACGTCGCTCATGAGTTGACTTTCTTTGCAAAGAATTACACATATATATTTGTAACGTAGTTTAATCCACCTCCCTTTCGTTAAATGTAGTTGGGCGCTTCCCAACAATCCTAATATATTTTCATTTTAATTTTTTTTTGAAAAAAAAATGAAGAAAATCAATTCAATCTCTGACGTAGCGAAAGCCTCTAACAATCGACCAAATAACTCAAACAAGTAACCAAATCCCTAATTACCTCCAATAAATGGTTCAGCAAATAGTGACCTCCCCGATTAACGATTACATGTTAGCCCTAAATAGAAATCGAAAACCAAGGCCTCTAAGTTTACAACCTTTAATACAACAAATGGAGCACTACTAACCTAACACTCTAATTTCAATCACCAACAAATAAATCAAAAGAGATTAGATTACTAATTTTTCCGGGTTCATGAGAAATACGTTTATGAAAAATCAATCTAAAACAATATTATTCGATAATGTTCTTTTCAGATGACTTCTGAGTCAACGGAGTCCGGCTTTGTGCTGAATACGACGGCGAAGGTATATCTTGCACCGGAGCCTTCCCTCGATTTGAGCCTTGTTGCGCTAACAACATCTCCATCATCTGATTAAATCTTGCATCACTGTTTGCGATCAAATCACTGATCTTTGAATCAAGATCGTAAAAACGCCCTTCGATCTGATCAAGCCTTGTAGTAACTGCCTCTC